GTCTGACGCGTCTGCCTCCGCGACCCGAAAGGAGAAGCGGCGATGGAAGATGATGATGATGATGATCGAAGATTTCTTTAATGAGGGTAATTATGAGTAAGACGAGGAAAAACAAAACAGTGCCATTTTCAGGATGCGCATTTTTCAGTGACAGGCGAAAACAATTGAGCTTGCTCTCAGTACAGTTTAGGAAACAGCAGAAAGTAGCTCTACTCCTAGCGTCATACAGACATTGTCTGTAAAGATCTCAGTTCCGTTTTATACATCTTTTGAATGGCGTTTGCCAACAGACAAACAAAATAAAATGTGAGGACAATGAAGCTTGACGGGATTCAAAAAACAACAAAACGAGTAATGATTTTGTTCACAGCCAATTGCCCTCTCTTATTCGTCGTTAAAAGACTTTAATTGACCCTCAAAATCCCAATTCCAGTTGTGTAAATCTCTGTTAAAGAAAAACTGCTCCAAAAACAGATATCGCCTTGCACACTATGGATTTTGCAAGTAATTTCCCATCACTGCTATTCTTCGTGAGGTATTGAGCGTATGCGCATATTCGACAACCGCAGTACCCTTGTTTCACAACGCGGGCAACTCAACATATCTTCCGGTAGACACGGTGAAGAATGTTGCGGAGATTTTTCTAATATTGGCGGCTACTGCTGAATATGCAAAACGGCGGATTACAGATCAAAAGAGTGAGTCGAATCCTGGCTGGGTCAGTTGCGCCTCATCCTTCTGAGGTTGATGAATGAGCAACGTTGCTTGAGAAAGTAAACATGAAACTGTTCGCTGTATTTCCCACATCACAACCATAAACACTGCCCTTAAAATAAAACACTCCTGATTGATGGCACAGAAACGCATCATAATAATGGCATTCTACGAAACCAGGTCCTGAAACGAAATATGAGAAATAATGACGTCTCAACAATTACCGACTTTTCTTTACCTTTCCTTTTAGTGCTAAAGGAGCCATGAAGTCGAGTGGCTTCCACGCCGTTATGTGAAGTCAGTGAACAGAAGATATTTTGCCTGATTCTGTATACTGTGACTTTTATAAGTTAGCAGCGCCAGAAACGACGTTATTTACATGTCTGTGACTGTATCAGCGTTGTATTTATATTAGCAACACAGGCTGGTTCTGAAGAAGAACAGAAACAATTTGCAACAGTTGCAGTGTCGGTCTCCCTTTCGCTTTCGCCATGAATGAATGCCATTTATGGTAGCTATTTTCTGAATGGAATACGGCAGTAATCGCCGTCTCCGTATCATCAGCCAAGAGTGACTTTTTGTTCTCCTGTTAAAGTTATATGTACTACATGTCATAGAAGCTACAGTAGCAGTTAGTCTCGTCTGATAGCTGAGTGTTCAGTGCGGCAAATCAGTACAAGGTATCTTCATCTTCCATCGCCGCTTCTCCTTTCGGGTCGCGGAGGCGACGAGTCAGACAGTGCTTCCAACGTTCCCGATCCTGTGCCAGAGTCTGAGCTTCGGCAAAAGACAAATGCAGCCTGGAAAAGATTCCTTCCATATGTTTGCACCAGCAGCACAAGGTATAAGCATGCAAAAAAAGAGAAAAGAAAATCATGCCTGCCACGAAAGTGCAAGAAACGGACATCAGTGTGTGGCGTAAAATTCCTTCATTCCCGTAAAAAATATGTTTAATAAGTGAAGTTTTCCGAACCCGCAAAGGTACTTCGATTTTAGGGCAGTTTGTGCAGAAGAAAGAGCAACCTTGTCGATTCCGAAAGCTTCAATTATTATATGTGATTCTTCCAGACTTACAAACCGTCGTTTTCTTAATACGTCATCGTAAAACCTTGTTTATGTCCTTTCGAAGCGAATTGCTTTCTTGCTTTCATTTCACAGCACAGGCCAGTGATGCTGACCTGCCGCCTGCTGCAATTACGGCTATTGAGTTATTGCTTTGCTGACCTTCGCCTGAAATGCCATTCTTCAATCGGCAAACAACCCTCATAGGACCATGGCCAGCTACTGAGCAGGAATAGTCGCAACGTGGAAGCTAGTGCGACTATAGGTGGCATGTAGCAAGACGAACGAACGAGCAATTTCACGTTTCCAACGTTTCAAATCGATTTATTTGGAAAACGACGAAGATCATCCCTATGAACGGTCACCGAAGAATATCCAGTGAGGACCGGTTCAGACGTTTCGCTTTACTGACGTAGAAAAGCTGTCAATCACGTCGGAAGCTGTTAATCCAAAGAGCATGCGTCGGATCAGAAATAAATCCGTCTCTCCGTGTCGATCATCAATTCGCTTTCCCATGCCGGTGTGACAAGACACAGCGACGAGCGCCGTGACCACTTACAGCAGCTTCAAAATTGGGCTTTGAATAACGTATGCTGCAAAGCACGTGCACGGCATGCACGTGAACCGTAATTAGTGCGTCCTTAACTTTTGCTCGTCAATCCAGCAAATCCTAGTCCGGCTATGTCGGACGTTGAAAGTGCATAGTGCATAAAGTATACGTAAGCAAACACGCCTACGTATACTTTCAAGCTGATTGGACCACTACCAAATCATTCAATGCTCTATTTCGTCCTACATCTCATTCATATACAAAAACAAATTGGTTGGTTATACGTGTGTTGATTACCGTAATGATTACCATAGTCGGCTACCAGGTGGGTGAAAGCAAAGTGCAGCCAGCAGCGCCACTAGGGGCGTAAACATCGAACAGCACCGCAGCGCCTCTCGCCAATCCGTGAATGACCACGTCGAGACGTCACGTTGCCCCACCCCCCTGTTCTGTTCGCAGGTCAACGATTTGATAGCCATTTCTCCCATTTTCCTGGTTGCGTCCAATCAACGTGCGGCACATTCATTGTTAGGAGAGCTACTGGACATTTATTAGTTTTCTAGTTTTCTTCAGGTTTATTTTTGATCCTGCTTTGATGTTAAATTCGACGTTGATTCTTTTCTAGAGTTCATCTGAGGACTTACTGAGGATCGGTTAGTGTCACTTGTGACCCGATGTCATTTATCTTATGTTCCTGATTTTCGCAAAGAAGTATCTTAACATGTTTTCAAGGACTGGCGTCAATAACTTCGGAAACATTGAATTATGCTGTCAGACACTCCTATCGATCTTGAATTTAGATCGTGAGGAATTTTGGCATTTGAATAGCAAAATAAATATATTAACCTCTCAACGTTTCTGTCGCTCTGGAACCCCCCCTTGAAGTCTAAACGTTTGAGGTTTTCCAGTTCCGGTTTTGCTAAATTACTTGAAGTATTCTGAAATATGCCAAGTGACGAAATACCTCTGAACAACAGGCATGACATAGAGACAACATGGTGTTTAAGTTGGAATAGACGAAAGACAAGGCAATGCTACTGGCTGTAAGTACCTGTTAGGACGGCACTTCTCACTGACTTTCTGACAGCTGATTGCATCGTGTGATAATCAGTACAGAACGCAAACCATGTCTGAAAGTCGTTCCTCCATACAAAATCCATGGATGCGCTTGGTGATGTTTGACAATACTTCGATACAAGGAACCGCTTGTTAAAAATGTAGAAAGATGCTTCAGTGGTTCTAACGTAAAGAACAAAAACACGATATATTTATGCAAAACTCAAATATGTTGATCAATCAGGTTATCATTTTTCTCGATATCTCTGCCTCTTCTATCATTAATCAAGCAACTCTCAAAACCGACCTTCGCGTTCTGCGCCGGCCCTCAGGTTCACAGAACGTAATGTCTCCTTCGATTCTGAGGTTCTTGTCAAACAACTTGCACAACCCATCATCCTGTAAGGTGGCATACGCTTGAACACCGGCAATTTCTCTAACAACAACCGTCCCTTCCATCCGGCTCTGTCATCGAGCATATTCTTACATCATGGTACAAGCTCAAAAACAGTCAATAAGTGCCGTTGTGAAGACGAAATTCAGTTTCAGTCATTCTTGCCCTGGCTCGTATCATGAATCACCCATAGTCGCTTGTTGACAACAACTACATAAATTTGCTACCTCTTAACGTGTACTTATGCGTTTCGTTATTTTCTGCTCTTGTCGTTCAGCATTGAAAGGTATGTCCATGTCGTATATTCAACAGCAAAATATATTCATTCATTCATTCAAAGTTAAGAAATGAGCGAGCCTCGGAATTCCTTATGGTCCTCTGCACAGGCTAGTAAGTTCAGTGCCAGAAGATGAGCTCTCGTTACTGCCGGCGATAAGACTCATGAAACCTGCTCGAATTTTGTATCCCTTGTCGTACTGTCCTTTATGTCAGTACCTTGAAGAAGACCTTGGAAACTTGGGCCGAAACATTAGTACGGGTTAACCATACGATTGACCAAATTGTTTCGTTTGTGTGCAAATAAACCGTGTTGTGGCGTTTTCAGTTTGATCACCAACTCATGAGTAAAATACTCTGTCTTCAGTTATTCAAAGTATAAGGAGTGGACAAATGATGAAGTGATTATAAGAACTATTTAAGTTTCAGCCAAGTTGGAAAACAATATCAACACAATCGATTGTTCTGGATAATTATTATGTCGCTCAACTATGAAGTGGCTGTTAGCAGAATAACGCATAGTCTTAAGAACGCGCTTCGATTCCCAGTAAGTGCAGAGGGATAGACGGATAGATGGATAAAGAGACACCAAAACAGTGCAAGCGTAACACGCGTCCCTTACCGACTTTTTGACATTGGCAAAGATGGTAACATTCTTAGACACCACAGCGGGAGGCACGCGTTTGCCGCTGCCACCAATGGTCGGTGTCAGCTCCAAACTCGCCGTGCAGACGTAGCGCACGTAGCCGAACTCGCCCTCGATGGTCGACGGCAGCGCCTCTGGGATGTTCAGCCGGAAAGGGACAGTGTAGCACCCTGCGGGCAGCAACGACGGATGGTCGGAGCCGTCGGCCGATTTCGGCTGCAACGACAGTTGTAGGATACGGTCGATCAGAGGCTCGACGCTGTCGTTGATGTTCTCGGACACCTTGTTCACCCAGTGAGTGTGTGACTCGCCCTTGAGAGCGACGTGTAAGTTGGCCGAGCGTACGGCCTGATTCAGCACAGCTACCACCTCGCCTCGGACCGACGAACCGGCGAAGAAAAGACTCTGCTTCGACTGAAAACTAATGTCGAACGAGTCCAGCAGTTCCATCATCGACCGGTGCCATGCGACTGTTGCTCAGTTCTTGAACGAAACACACTCACCTCGCTGGCGGCATATCGCCACCGCGTTTGCTCCAATCGCCATTGCACTTCCGCCTGAGGAAGACGAGTGTCACACGTCACCGAGCGAGTGCACCGCCCTCGCGGCCGGTGTTTGCCAAGCCCAGCCCACCCTGCGTACCGATTACTGATGCTCCCACTCGTCGCTAACGGCAGCAATCACACATTCTTCAGTCAGAGTCGATTGATTACATGGCGGTGAAATCGATTTCTTTTCCTGCCATGATTGATGGCATCGACAACAGCGAAACTTCTCTCGAAAGTCGCCCCACCAGCCGTACTTAATCTCGCGGATCCGCTTTCGACAAGAAGCTGGCTGATCGCCGATGGTATTTGTCGTTCTTTGTTTTATCCCCCTGTCGCTGTCGTTCTTCTCCTCTTTGAGTTTTTTTCGAGGTTTGCGCTTGCCGGTGTTCACTTGATTAATAACGAGCAGCCGTGCTCGCTTTGCTACTGATTCGTTGCTGACGTAGAAGCACTTCTCAAACAAACGATGATTTTGCGGAACGTAATCGGCAGGCGATCCAGGTGCAAGCAAAATAAGTACCAGTGCCGAAAACCTCAAACTCTTTTTGAGGAAATAAAGCGCATATCACCGTCTATATCCTCGTGTTGCTTCTTCCTGCTCTATAATTGGTTAATTCTTAAAACAGACATACGTTCCTCGTACGTATCGATACAGCCACCGCTAGCTGATTTGCCCGTTTCGTTGAGGCAAATCGATGAAGCCACAAGCCATTGGTTTGCACGTCTCCCACGTCGTTTTCTTGCCAAACAGGACAGTCGAGTATGAGACTATTTCAGTGATGCATCTCACTGTTAACACTAAATATTAGCCAACGGTGCGTGAGCCATAGACTCGTCAAACGATTTTCCTTTCTCTTCGTTGGATCAATCCCGGACAAAAGACAATGCCATATATCCTAGCTGCTATCCACCATATTTCACCTACCAGCGAACTGCCAGAAAATGATACCTAGAAAAGATCTAAATTCGTCAGCTGATCTTCCTGCTGTTGTTTGCTGCTGAGCAACGAAATTGCGTTATTGGCTAAACATTTAAAAGTTGGCCTGAAGTTCCAGGATCAAAAACGATCGCGAAGGGAATCCTAACGCTGCTGCTTAAGTACTCACAGTCACAGAAAACTCAGATGGTAAACATACGCTACAAAAGATGATGGACTACGTGTATTAGGAGCTGTAGAATATTTTTTGAAAGTAACACTATGGCTTCAAATCAGATATGATAAACGAAAGGAAAGGTTGTATCTGCTAGAATAATGATCTTCCTGGCACTTTCACGACGGGATCATTCTGTCCGTGTTCTTTCACGTCGTTAATAGCTTGGTGCTGATTTTCATTTCATGTGATCAGCCAAAAGTGCCGCATCTTAATTGCGAGAGAGACTGATTTATCACCCTCGGAAAAAAGAAGGCCGAGTGACCCCGCGCACGGGTTCGAACCTGGAACCTCTCGGTTCTGAGTCCGACGCTCTGCCGACTAAACAGCCCCGGCGTGAGTCAGCCTCTGGCACACTCGATAGAATTCGCGGTTAAGAGGAACAATTTCGACCACTGCAAATCGAACCTTCATCTCTAAACTTACAGCTGATCTCTTTCGCACTGTATCACTATTCCACATTAAACATGTAAGCGTGTAAGCAGAGCATATTGTTGTCAACGAATGACGCCAGCCGAAGGCAACTTTACTTTCTTACAGACTTCGCTGCCTGCCATGACAAATGCAATCCGACTAGTCATCGTCACAAAAGAAATCACAACCGGAGATTTCGAACGAAGTTCCCAAGGGCATGCTAAAGAGTAACACCAAACCTGGGAGTGATGAAAAGTGGGACCTTGGCGACTTTTAGAAACTGAGTACTTTCAAAGCGAAGTACGAAGCCATCACGTTTCTAGTTTAGAGCCAATAGCATCGCTTCCACTGTTGTGAGGATTGGGTTTACAGTTCGCGTGCTTGAACATTTTTTTACATTCACATCTTCACTAGTGAATGTTCAACCCGTTTGCCAGCGGCTACTCTTCTCGCAGAAAGCACAGAGAATAATAATAAAATTGTCGACTAAGAAAGATACAAAATATATGGCCTTCCTCGTAAAGATATATCTTGACTACATCCCGGACTCCCACAGAACGAAGAGTAAAAAAAAGACTTTAAGAAGTCTTAGCAAGGGCAATAAGTCACTGGACTCCGTGGCGGTTTTTGCATCGCTGAGTTCATCAAGCACAAAGAGTGAAATGGCGCTTTTCAAAATGACCACTAAAGAATTGGCAAATACGTAGTCAGGCGATTTTCTGAAAACAAGAGCAAAGTTTGAGCAGGTTTTTAGAATTTTTACTATCATTAAAACCGAATACATCAATCCTTGCCGACAGGAAGGAAAAACTGCTACTGCCACATGAAAAACCGTAAAGAGAAACTGCAACGAAATTGATGACGAAATTAGAACTTCGCGAACTTCGTAAATCGTCGCTGATAAGATTGTAAACTTTGCACTGTCTTTCACTACTTTGCTTAAGAACGAGCGCTTGACAACGGCTAGTTGAGGCACTGACCAAGCAACGGTCAGTCAAAGATGGCCGAAATTGCGTCGCAACTAGGCTAGCTATGAACAAAACTGATTTCTTACAAAACTACTGCTGAGGAACCATCGGCTGCAGCCAAGGGAAGGAAATCTCTTAGCTGCAAACGATGAGACCGAATACCAGCCAAAAACCGATAAACTTGGAAAAAAATTTGAGGAAACGACTAGTCAGTGATTGACATGTAGCGCTGGAGTGGCGGCACAGTGCGCAACAGGTAGGCTTCGAACTCGAACTGTGCAAATGCCGAGTTTCACTTACCAAAAGTTGCTTCAGGCCTGCTTTACTCGGATGGTAGAGGAGAGTCCAGTGTTCGAGTATTGGACAGTGTCACTCAGCTGTCTCATTTCTGACTAAACGAGTACTACTCTGATAAATCGGTAGAAGGAAAACGGAAAATATGAACTATACTCTTTACGGCCACTCCTTGTTCATCGGATGGAAATGGAGACCAGCGACCCCCCCACCAACACCACCAATAATTTCCTGATAACAATCGTGCAGGTACAAGAGAGACTGGCACTCCAACGGTTACCATCTTTCCCTATTCTATCGACCTGTGAACGATAAAGACACCGTAATGACTGTGAGTATAGTTCGCCTTAGCTTGCCTATCACCTGACTCAGCATAAAGTATTAGCTGCAAAATGTGAAACTAAACAAACAATGCTACTACATGCCTTCGAGAAAAGCCATTTCATCTAGGCTCCCCATAATCCCAAGCACACTGATTTCACATCCTAGATAAGACAGCTCCGTTTCAAATGCATTTGTTGCTACCAGTAATGACCAGCAAACTACTGTAAAGTGACAATAAATTAATTTTGAATGTTTGAAAGACAAATTTTGCCGGAAATTATAGAACCACAAGACATTCATAAGCGATTATAATGAAAGCAGAAAAAATCAGTGTTATATATTTATATACAAACCAAAATATAAGGTCATTCGAATAACTATGTTTCGACCCGTGTCGCACACCCTCTTCGCTGCAAGGAGTTTGGTTGACTGATTTTTTAAGCCCTTCACTAGCATGCAACTACTGGCACTTGTGAAGCCAGCAGAGGAAGCCAGAACTGTTTAGTAAACAGCTCCTTGACGGCAGGGGCTAAAAGGCTCACCTGATCAGTTCATGGTTCTTATCTTTTCTCCGCCTGACGTTCTCGCAAGACTGACTGGTTTATTCCTTCTTGACACACGCAATCAGCCAGGGTTTCTTATGACGATTTCGGTACTTTTCAATCATCAAGGCGGGTGTTTTCTGTGCTGCGTGCTGCAAATTTCCAGGTATTTCTTTTTATCGCATTGTGCCTTAACATTACTATGGTCGAAGCTCGTTACCACCTATCCCACTTTACTGCGACCGCCCGCGCCCATTTTCTTCAGCTTGGAGGGGGAACCCTTGCACTTTAAGTATCGGTGTTTCCTGCTTCTACTATGTAATATTTCCCGCATTTACACGCTACGCTATAAACTGAGCATGGGGTGTCATTATCCTCAGGCAGTTGTTGTGCTTCATCTTCATCTTCATCTTCCATCGCCGCTTCTCCTTTCGGGTCGCGGAGGCAGACGCGCCAGACAGT